TCTCTTTGGAATGGGCACAAATATGGATCTCTTCCAATCAGTTGGCCAGATAGTTGTCTTTCAAATTTCTTGGCAGAGATGAGTGAGTGCCTCCTATGCCACCTTACTTTCTTGAAAGATTTCAATTTTTATTCCATCAATTCCTGGTGCCTTGTTCTTTGCCAATTGCTTCAGTGCACCTTGGACTTCATCCCTCAGTATCATTGGCTCTTGGTCAAATGCTTCTTCTTGAAATGGCTGAACATCAACCATTTCCTTTTGGTACAGTGACTCTGTGTATTCCACCATCTTCTCTTGATGCTTTCTGCATCATTCAATAATTTGCCCAGGGAATCTTTCAATAACGAAAGTCAAGGCTTGAATTTTTTCTTCAGTTTCCCCAGCTTGAAAAATGCTGAGCATGTTCTTCCTTTTTGGTTTTTTGATTGCAGATGTATGTACATTTTATTGTAATAATTGGCTTTATCTTATCGAGCTGATGTTTTAAATTTTCTGTTCAGCTCTTGGACCTCCTCATTTCTTCCAATTTCCTTTAGTATCTCTACACTTCTTTCTTGTCTTCTCAATAACTTTTTGCTTTCTTTATGTATGATGTTCTTGATGTCATCCCACAACTCTTCTGGTCTTCTCTCTTTAGTGTTTAATGTATCAAATTTGTTCTTCAGATGATCTCTAAATTCAGGTGGGATCTATTCAAGGTCATATTTTGGCTCTTGTGGACTTGTTTTCATTTTCTTCCGATTCAGTTTGAATTTGCATATGAGTAATTGATGGTCTGTTCCACAGTTTGCCTCTGGCTTTGTTTTCACTTATTGTATGGAGCTTTTCCATTGTCTCTTTCTACAGATGTAGTCAATTTCATTTCTGTATATTCCACCTGGTGAGTTCCATGTGCATAGTCATCTGTTATGCTGTCTAAAGAAGGTATTTGAAATGAAGAAATCATTGGTTTTGCAGATTTCTATCATGCGTTCTCCAGCATCATTTCTATCACCAAGGCCATATGTTCCAACTACTAGTCCTTCCTCTTTGTTCCCAACCTTTGCATTCCAATCAGTAATGAGCAATACATCTTGATTGCATGTTTGATCGATTTCAGATTGATGAAGTTGGTAGAATTCTTCTATTTCATCCTCACTGGCTTTAGTGGTTGGTGCATAAATTTGAATAATAGTGGTATTACCTGGGCTTCCTGTAGGTGCATGGATATTATCCTATCACAGATAGTGTTGTAGCTCATGACTGATCTGGATATGTTCTTTTTGACGATGAATGCAAACCATTCCTCTTCAATTTGTCATTCCCAGCATAGTAAACCATGTGGTTGTCAGATTCAAAATGGCTAATACCAGTCCATTTCAGCTCACTAATGCCTAAGATATCAATGTTTATGCGTTCCATTTCATTTTTGAGAACTTCTAATTTTTCCAGATTCATACTTCATACATTCCATGTTCTAATTTTCAATGGATGTTTATAGCTGTTTGTTCATTTTGAGTTGTGCCCCATCAGCAAATGAAAGTCCCACAGGCTTTTCTCCCATGGGCTTTACTCCATTCGCATCATCATCGTCAACTCTATTTTGAGGAGGCTGCTCTTCCCCATTCACATTTTGAGTACCTTCCAACCTGAGGGGCTCATTTTCCATCACTGTATCTGACAGTGTTTCTCTTCTATTCATAAGGTTTTCAGTGGCTAAATGTTCGGAAGCAGTTGGTCACCCTTTCTTCCTAGTGTGTCTTTGTTGGGAAGCTCATCTGAAATCTGTCCACCGTGGGTGACCCTGCTGGTATTTGAAATACTGGTGGCATAGCTTTCACAACCATAGCAACTCACAAGCCACCACAGTACGACAAACTGACAGAGGAGTTGAGAACATTTGGTTTTAAGTGGAAACTATAGGAAATCTGTGTGCATGCATAGTAGAACCCTCCAGGGGTGAGGGTGGGGTGTCCATTCACTCAGGCATCCCCCTCTAGTCATCAGAATGGAGGTGTGTAGACAGCTAGAGACCATTGAACAAAAAGAATGTCCACACCTGTGTCTCCATGGTTCTGTCAGGCGTTGGTGGCTGTTCTGATCCTTCTCCCGCTTGGTCTCTCCCAAGATGGCGGCTCTAGGAATAGCTGTGTGTCTTGAATTAGAAAGCAATGGATTTCTTGATTCTGCTACAAATTCTCCTAGCTATAAGCCTTCCTATCTTCTAAATATCCTGGCCTATGGAATCCTTCAATATTAATATTTGAGGCTTGAATTTTTTTCTTAATTTCTTTCAGTTTGAGAAATATTGAATGTGTTCTTCCCTTTTGGTTTTCTAACTACTGAGAAATATTGAGTGTGTTCTTCCCTTTTGGTTATGTAACTTTTCATATTTGATTATAATACTTTGCTTTGTCTTCTAGAGCTGCCCTCTGAAATTGTTTATCTTTTACTTCTGAATTTCTTTCATTTGTTTTAGCATCCCTGTGCTTTAAAACAAGTTTCAGAGTCTCTTCTCAAATCCCTTTTGCTCTTTTCTTCCTTTCCAGTCTTTCTGTATGATGTTCTTAATGTTCTTACTCTATATTTCTGGTCTTCGTTCCCTGGTGTCTGATGCATCAGATGTGGTCTTGAGGTGGCCTCTAAATTCAGATTGATATGCTCAAGGTCTTATTTTGATTCTTGCGGACTTGGTTTAATTTTCTTCAGCTTCAGCCTGAACTTTCATATAAGAAGTTGCTGCTGCATTCCACAGTTGGTCCTTCCCCTTGCTTTCACTGATGATATTGAGCTTTTCAACTGTCTGTCTCTTTCCATAGACTTGATCAGTTTGTTTCTTGTGTATTCCATCTGGTGGGGGCATGCATATAGTCAGCCATCTTTTATGTTGTCTTAAAAAGGTATTTGCAAGGAATAAGTAAGTCATTGGTTTTGCAAAATTCTATTATGTAGTCTCCAGCATCATTTCTATCACCAAGGTCATCTTTTCCAGTGACCCATCCTTCCTCTTTGTTTCTAATCTTTTCATTCCAATCACCACTAATTATCAATGCACCAAACTGCATGTTTGACCAACTTCAGACTGAAGAAGAATTCTTCAATTTCATCATCACCGCTTTAGGGGGATGCTGCATGCATTTGAATAGTAATGGTCTTATCTTGCCTTCCTTGTCATTGTTGTTAAGTGTCATCCAGTTGTTTTGGACTCATAAAAACCTTGTATAGGGATTCCAGGAGTGGCATAGACAGTGTTGCATTTCAAGATAGTTATTGAAGTGTTCTTTTTGACAAGAAATGCTGAATCATTCCTTTTTAATTTGTCATTCTTGGCATTGCAAGCCATATCATTTTCAGATTCAGTCCATTTCACATTACTAGTCCATGGGATAGCCGTGTTTGTTTTCATTTTTGACAACTTTCAATTTTCCTAAATTCAAACTTTGTACATTCTGTGTTCTCATTA